GTCTACGGCCTCCCGTCCTTAATCCTTAAAAGACGATAGGTAATAACGACTCAAAGACCTTTCCTTTTATAAAATATCTAAAATCAAGCGTGCAATAAAAAGCAGATATATGCATGGGGGCGTTGAAAAACCCGTTTGACGATGAAGATACGGTGGATAATCGAAGCGAACTCTCGCCTCCCCACATCGAACTCTGATTTCACTGCTCGTTAAGCGGCACCTGTTCAAGGGCTTTGCGCGCATACTCTCGTAGATCCATGTACTTGTAGCCGGGACACGCGACGCTCGGTTAAGGGAACGGAAAAAGCACGAACTAACGTCGAAGGAAGTCATTTTTCTCCTCAGCTCCCCTTCGACGATTTCACTCGCACGTGAACCGCTACTACGTTTCCGCATCTGTTGTACGGGAGAGAAGCCGACGAAACAATGAAAAACAAAGAGGCAAGGCTTTTGTATCGATCCAAAATACACCGAGAATAATCGGATGTACTTTATTGACGTTCTCAAATTAACGCGCAACCTACCTTCGATCGGCAATTAAGATGCATTTGAACATTATTAAAGCTCAGACTCGATTGAAATTCGTATATTTTAACATTTAACCGCTCAAGTAATAATTCTGCGCTACCTTATTAATATTACAACGTAGAGGGCTCGTAAAGGGCAATATTATTATATATTTTTATATTATTATATTTTTATATATAATTTTTACATATTAATATTATTATTAACTTCAATTGTTGGCAATTCGAGTACGTTAGTAGCCGAAGTCTCTGTAATATTGAGAAAAAATTATGTCTTTGTAATACTTGTAATTGTCAAATATATAGCAATTGCGTAGACATTTTTCACTTCCAAAAATCGTGAATCTGAACATTTAACATTTGCATTTATCATTCGTTGCGTATAGTGGAAAGTCTGTCCTCCGCAATTACTTTTCACAGTAGATTAAGTATATCTTTTTACACGTTATTTTCCGTACGCACGAGTCATAAATTACAAAGTTGCGTACGCGCGTATTCTACGTCAACAAGAAAAAAGGCACAAGAAATATAAGTATCAGCAAAAATAAATGAATAAGTGAAAGAAAGAAGAAGAATGAAAAAAGAAAAAGAAGAAAAAAGAATCTTAACCGTTGACAGTAATCAAATGGTATTGCTGTTTATTAGGTCAGGCGACAGTTCGCCGACGGCAGGTTTCCACGGCGCCTGTCGTGCCCATAAAAGAATAATCGATGGGGGAGAATTCGACGAATTCACAATTATGCATGCATGACTTTTGTCGTGGCCGCGTGTAATTCGATCTTAAAAGTACCCGAGCGCTCGCTACTTTCAAGCCGCTCGAGTACCCGTCAGCGCAACGTCAACCGCAAACGGTAAGTCGAGAAAACGGATTGCCGCTGACGCGCCTGCGCAACCACAAGCCCTACACTACGTAAACGCGAATTCGGAGGAAAAATAATACCATCGGGGCTAGTTCCTTTCAATCGATCGGCCATTTCCAACGGATCCCTAAACCTACGGCCACACCACTCCTCTTATCCATGTCGGAGTGGAGGCAACGCAGCGAGGACCTCGCGATATCTCTTAATATGGACGAAATAGCGGAGTCTTTGCCGTGGCAGGATCGCAGAAATACGATTCGAGCGACGTTATGAGGATCGCAGACTCACCCTGTCCCCGGCGATGACATCGGCTAGTTCGGCAGTCCGGCAGGGGGGACAAACAGGAGGAAAAAAAAAAGATATTTCATTAACAGCGGCGTATCCTTTTTCCGAATCACTTTTCATACATCAGCGACTGGCAAAAGATCCCCGCAAATGGAAAATAACAAACAAAGAGTACAGGCGAAATCTGTGGATCAATCGCACGAAAGCGGGGAAATAACGAAATGAAACAAAAAAACAAAAAACCAAAAAAAAAAAAAACATAAAAAAAAGGCCTCGGAGCCGCGAAAAAAATCATGCAACTAACAAGCGAACAAAGAGCACAGCCGAGAAGAAGTAATCCGAGGTAAAATGATGGCTGCGGAGTTATGCACAAAGCGCGTAGGCGGACTCAAAGCCGATTGAGCGGGCGAATCGGCCGCGCGACTGATAAACGCTCGCGCGCTTGTCCGCATCCGCGAGTGCCTCGGGATGAAAGGAGGGACGGAGGGATGAGTGGCGGCGGGAGAGGGCGGTGAGGGGCGAGTGTCGGGTGTTGAGGATGAGAAGAGAGGCGGCTCGACGGGGCTCCGTGGCCACCAGTTACGCTCAAATTCCCGTCACTCGGAAACTCTTAAAGCATCCGTTTAAAGCAACAACAAACGATTACGCACCCCCACGCCGTTGACGGGAATCGGATTCGTGGTCTAGCCGTGACCGCTTGTACATGACATGTCGGCCATAATTCGCGCGCCCACCCCCCACCTCTTCGCCTGGAACGCATATCGATGCGTTCGCCCACTCGAATCGGGCGTTTTTCTCCGGTCCCTCCTCCTCCTCCTCCTTCTCCTCCTCCTCCTTCTCCTCCACCTCCTCCTCCTCCTCCTCCTCGTTCTCCTCATCATAATCCAACATCCTCGGTATCCGCCTGCGCTACTAGCTACTAGCCAATTGCGTTCTTTATCGGCTGCGTGAGAGCGTTTGGCTTGTCCTTCGCCCTCGACTTTCAGCATTTTCGACTTTTCGCTCGTATCGGTGGCGAACGCAGCCGAGCGCGACGACAAGCCAAAAGTACGGGGATTCCGATTATCGGGCCACCACAGTCCGCTGATCCACGACTTTATACGAAAGCTAATTGACCACGCAATGGGCCATTGTTTGTGTGTTTAATCAGTGTAGCTTACGCAGGCCGATACACTGGATTTTCTAATTGGCCGAGGACTTATCGATTGGCCCGCGTACGCGTAAGCCTCTTGCCCGGCGATAAATGCCTTTTATTTAGCACGTTAGTCCGTTGAAATTGAACTTTCGGTATTTATATAATTGGCCAGGAGTATTTTTCACGCAAAATGTGAGCCGAGGCTTTTATGTGAATTGGAACGACGAAGGAGACGGTGACAATCTAACCGAGATAAGCGTATATATAACGGGGCACCCAAGACAATGTGCCTGGGGTACAATATAATAATAGGCTAAATAAGCGTGCACGAGTGCACGGTCGATCAGTTTGGAGAAAAAGGCCTGGCAAACGTTAGACCTAGCGCGTGCGCGCGCGCCAACACATGTGTGTGCACATCGAGCGAACTCGCGCGATACAATCGAACGTCTTCCTTGTATAATATATCTAAAACCAAAGTTTGCGTACAATGTGGCGATGTTATCTAGCCTTTCCGCACCCCACCCCTTTTGTGCTTGTCTCTCTCTCTGTCTCTCTGTCTCTCTGTCTCTCTGTCTCTCCGTCTCTCTTGTTCATATGATAGTTGGTGGTCGTGTGGGGAAAGAGCGAAAGCTCGAAAAAGAACCTGCATCGGAGGGTTAGAAAATAAGGCAGGAGCGCGTGTCGGTGTGCGAGCGAGTAACCCGAGAGCAAGCAGGAGGTCAGCTTTCGAAGCTGATGAGGATAGATTGACGAGGCCGATAAAGTGGAGAGCCGCTGATGGGACGCGACGCGACAACTCACTGACCTGCGAATCCAATGCATATATATATATATATATATATATATTTACACGTACACTCACACGACACTCGCACAAACTGTGCACATATTTATACGTATGTTATTCACGCACAGAAGTGCTTACGTACGCGAATGTAGAAAAAAGCATGTGCAAGCGTGTGAGTGGGTATTCGCGCCTCGATATCGGTCCGTGGTATCGTAGAACGGACTGACGAGGGGAAAGGGAAATGGAGCGTATGGGGCGTGCGCGCCTCGTTCCCGCGTATGGGGTGGTCGACATCTTTTCTTGTGCTCAAAGCAAGCGTAACATCCTTATCAGCTATTAATTATCTCCGATTGCCGGCCATGATGTTTCATATACGTCGTAACGCGTGTAATGGGGTCGGGATGTGGTGCAGACGTGACAAAAGCCTCGCCGTGGTTTTTATGCAGACACCGCAGTCCGACCCAATGACGCTGTGACATAATTGGGTGTTGCGAGCAGACGGTATGTGCGACTAAGAAATAAAAATTTCCGATTGGTTTCGCGTTGTTAGCGACTACAAAACTTACCAGCCTAAGGTGATACATGCGCTCGTTTTTATTTGTCATGCTCGGGGAATTTATCGAGGCAAAGCTCTATCCTTTTCGCACGTTTACACTTGGTTTGCTCGCATAATTAATAAGCCGTCCTACCTTTATTTTATCGTATTAAGTTTCTTGCCCGACTCTCATCACATTTATGCTAAAACATATTGTTTATCTAGCATTTATTAATAATCTTGCGATGCCGGAAACTTGCGTATTACGATGAGTAAATAAAATTCGGATTTAACAACCAGATGATAATTATCTTAATGATTACGCATGTACGTCATGATAAAGTTATAAAATGCCAAAAATCTTTATAGATAGATGTGCAAGCAAATTTTGTATAAATGAATTTTCCATATGAAAGATCTTTTTAAAATTGACAGTCGACAACTTTATATTCAAAGATTTCAAGAAGTTTTAAGTTCCAGCAAAATATTCCCTTTAAGCTTTTATATTCTTTATTTTTGCAACCTAAAACTTTAAAACGCAGCATGTCGTTCAGTTAAAAGAAAAAAAAAACAATGAAAACAGTATAAATTATTGTAAAACGTATGACGTTATACAAAAATTAATACGTTGCCTTATTCAAAGTCACCTAATAAAAAAGGCGTTTTCCCATCGAAATTCGGATACTAATCACTAATGTTTACCCTCTCTTTGGAGGAGAATTTAACAATATAAGGAGATATTTGCGAGTATACAACAAGGAAGATAGTTTTTGGTTTGAAGTTTAAAAAAAGAAAGAGAAAAAACATATAAATATGCAGACAGGCGATAAAGAGCCAAGAGGAAAGTGTTTTATTTGGTACAGTAAGGAGAATGTCAATTGACACTACACTTGCATTTTCCTTTTTCTGCTCGAAATTAGCCGAGTTTGCTCGTCTACGCGTTCTCGACGTCTGCCCATCGTCGCTCCTTCGCCGAACGAAGTGCCACGAGCAGCTCGGACGACAGAACACGACAAAGCACGTCGAAGCACGACAAAGCACGTCGAAGCACGCCAAAGCACGCCAAAGCACGACAAAGCACGACAAAGCACGACAAAGCACGACAAAGCACGACAAAGCACGACAAAGCACGACAAAGCACGACAAAGCACGACAAAGCACGACAAAGCACGACAAAGCACGACAAAGCACGACAAAGCACGACAAAGCACGACAAAGCACGACAAAGCACGACAAAGCACGACAAAGCACGACAAAGCACGACAAAGCACGACAAAGCACGACAAAGCACGACAAAGCACGACAAAGCACGACAAAGCACGACAAAGCACGACAAAGCACGACAAAGCACGACAAAGCACGACAAAGCACGACAAAGCACGACAAAGCACGACAAAGCACGACAAAGCACGACAAAGCACGACAAAGCACGACAAAGCACGACAAAGCACGACAAAGCACGACAAAGCACGACAAAGCACGACAAAGCACGACAAAGCACGACAAAGCACGACAAAGCACGACAAAGCACGACAAAGCACGACAAAGCACGACAAAGCACGACAAAGCACGACAAAGCACGACAAAGCACGACAAAGCACGACAAAGCACGACAAAGCACGACAAAGCACGACAAAGCACGACAAAGCACGACAAAGCACGACAAAGCACGACAAAGCACGACAAAGCACGACAAAGCACGACAAAGCACGACAAAGCACGACAAAGCACGACAAAGCACGACAAAGCACGACAAAGCACGACAAAGCACGACAAAGCACGACAAAGCACGACAAAGCACGACAAAGCACGACAAAGCACGACAAAGCACGACAAAGCACGACAAAGCACGACAAAGCACGACAAAGCACGACAAAGCACGACAAAGCACGAGAAAGCATGACAAAGCAGGGCGATTGCAAGGGGTCGGGGGTGCACGCGGGCGGGGTCGAAGGAATCTCGGCATTATCTCGGCGGGCTTTTCTAGGGACAGTCGCGAAGGCGGTGGTAGGCGTAGGCCGCTGACGAAACCGTCCCTCCCCCGGCTGGGTAACCGGCTTGATGGGTAGGTGGGAGGAAGGGCGTGAAGTGAAGGGGGTAGGGTGAGGGAGGGGGGAGGTCGGTTGGTTGGTTTAGAGAATGGAGAGACAATAATGGCCTCCGAGGTGATAGACGGCACTTTGCGGAGTCTCATCTACGTTGGCGCGCGAAACTCGAGCTTCGCGACGATGTATCCCGAGAGACAGCCTATGGGCGTGAGCTACGAGCCTTATAAATATTTCGCATATTCTGTCTCGTTGCCGAATAATCGACGATTCTTCGCGTGATGAATCGATTGGCGGGCTTTTATTCCCAGGCCGGATCCGTGCTTTCTCTCCCGCGACTCGTGCACTTTGGGCACGTGTAACGAGTCATTCTCTGCAGCATCCGAAACGTCGTGGCGGTATTTCGCATTTCCCAGATCATTATTGGCTTCAATTTCACGTTACAATTACACGTCAAATGCCATTCCATTACATATAACCAATGGTAACTGTTTCCAGCTGATAATATCCACATGGCCTATTACCCGTTCATATAAAGCTTATGCAAGTTAATATTAATATTGGCTCGATCGAGTATGAAGCCGATGCTCTTGGCAGCGGAGCCCAACTCTCAGCTACGAATGAAAATTCGAGAAAAGTCCGTGGAAGGTGTGGCGCGTATATAGAAAAATAAGGATCGTATTAAAAAATTCCAGAACTCCTCGTTTAATCTTTGGCAATAATAAGGGGGCGGGCAAGGAAGGTGAAAGAAATTCCCAGGGTGTATCCGTGAGGGATCTCGACTTTCGGGAAAACTTTCCACGGCAAAGTATTCGCGCACGTGATTTTGATGAAAGAAGGAAATTTTTCTCCCTCCGTAGTGGAATAAAATTTCGCCGGTCCGGCTCAAGCTCTCCTCCGCCGATTTCAGGGAGCATCCCGTCCTCCCCTTATCTCGTATACCGCCGCCGCCGCCACCTCCGCCGTCGAGGCCCCCGACCCCAACCCTTTTTTCCTCTTTATCGAGAAACAGTGGGTGCGTAGGCGCGTAGATAGGCGCGCGAGCGTCGACAGCGTTATTGAAATCGTAGGAAGGAAGGCGCGCATCGAGCTCCCGGAGGTAGAACGTAGTCGGAAGAATGGGAGAAAAAACAATGGACCAAGCGACCCTCGCAGTTCCTTTCTTCGACGCGACTCTCGCTCTTACTCCGTGTTTTTTTTTTTTTTTTTTTTTTTCCCCCCCCCCGCGTGCAGTCAGTCCTCGCTTTCAGGCCGTTTTTGCGCGTCATCGGCCCGGCCCTCCGAGGCCAGCGGTTTTCGCCCAGCGGCAGACGCTCAGCCGCCGAGCAGCCGACAATACTTCGCGCAGCTCGTACTCCGCTCCCGTCGGAGGAGTCATTGTCGCGTTATCGCGACTCTTGCCGATCTCTCCGCTCCCTAGCCATTCTCTATCTCTTGCCAGATCCGCGTCCCGCTCTTTTTATCTTGCGTCCTCCACCTCCCTTTTTCGAGACTGCGATGCGCCTTTATGCAGATCGACGGGTAGGGCCTTTATCCGGCATTCTTTTTGTTTTCTTGCCTCTATTTTTCGCTCTTTATTCTCCGTTCTCGACACGCTTTGCTCTCTCTCTCTCTCGAGTATGCATCTTTTGATCGATCGCAAGACGAGAATCGGGCTCGGCTTTTCCCGGCGGTTTTTCCAGGAGGTTCGCTATTTCGTGTATCTGCGAACGGCTCCATACGGTGCGCCGATTGGTCGAGTGTCTAGCATTTCCGTCGATGTTTTTACGTATGGTAGTTTACACAAACGCTGGCGTACATAGCACATTATCAATATTTGCGAAACGGTGCGTGGACCGGAGAATGTTTTCGATTTCCAAAGAATTTTTAAGTAATTAGCCGTGTCGGCGAACGAGCTCGTCTTCAATAACGTTTCATTGGATTTGCGGGCGAGCGGGATGAGCGATTACCGCGAGGAAAAATTTGAAAATCGCGAAGAAACCGAATGCCGCAATGATGAAGGAGAATAATCGCACGCTCAATGTGCGCCAATGCGGACATAACCAATGGATTAATGTTTTTGAAACGAGGCCGAATTGAAAGCCAATTTTTAACAATTACGGATCGGTATTATCGAGAAACACCTGGATTCGTGGCTCGGGTACACCGGCGACGTGGCACTAGTCTCGTTGTCAGGCCTAATATGCTTTTCATCGCGTGTTCGAAAAATAATCTGCAACGAAGCCGAATGAATAAACAGAGCTGCACCCCGGGATATTAGGAAATAGTTTATGGAGGTATTGAATTAGTGGAAGTGGATGTAGGATGGTAGGCAAGCCTCGTCGAGGCGATACTCGACAATCATTGCCTCGTTGGTGAAGGGAAAGAAGAAATAACCGGGCGCGTTTATCCTCCCTCGGTTGCCGAGGGTCGAGGCGAGGCTGGCGCTCAGGGCGACATGTCGAGGATGAAGGAGAGCTGCGAGTCGCGCGATGATTGCGGTGTAATCTGCTTTCGCTTAGCTTCGCGGCCTCGGGCCTTGGGAGTCGGCGGGTTAAGAGAGATAGAGAGAGATAGAGATATATAGAGAGATATAGAGATATATAGCGAGATATAGAGAGATAGATAGATAGATAGATAGAGAGAGAGAGAGAGAGAGAGAGAGAGAGAGAGAGAGCGATGGCGAGGAACAGGATGCCAGAGGGGATGTTGCGGGCCCGAAGGATGCGCTTCCTTCTTCGTTAAATTTGAGGAGGAGAAGGGGAGCGCACCGCCACTCTACCGTGTTCGCCACTGCCACCGCTCCCTCGCCCACCACAAAGCGCTCCGTCAATTTACCAAGCGAGACGGCTTCCTTCTTCCTTCCTCCTTTCAACGTCAGACGACATGTTTGTACTTGTGTATGATGTACTAGTTACGCTCCGTGTATGTTTAACACCAATGCTAATCCTTTAATGCGCATTTGACAAGCGCCATCTCGACTTTTCCTCATATACAATATAGGTGCACCCACACGCGCACACATATATGTGCGCGCGTGTGTGTGACAACAATCCTTTTAAACGGGGATTCGATGACGAAGAAAGGGAAAAATTTTATAAAAAATCACAAGAGCTTGTCGTGATAAAATATTGACGCTGAATCCTCTGAAAATGATGCTCGCACATTCGAGAGAAAGAATGCGATTTCGTTGGGAAAGTATCGAGCATTAGGAGATATTCTTGGGAGAATACTCGAAGGAAAGTTATCCGACACCGACCCACATGCAAATGCGTGTGAGCGCAGAAATGGGATGAACGGGGGTGGCTGGGAAGGATAGAAACTTCTTTAGCAACAAAGCGCAGGCAAACGGAAAAAGGAGCGGAGTATCCCGGGGCAAAAAAGAATAAAAAGGCAGTGGAGGACGAGCGAAGGATTGGTAAGCCGGGCGAGAGAGTGTTTGCTCTGTGGGCTTATCCTATAAACGCCGGCGCCGCTTGTGCCTGCGAATGTAATCCGGCCCCGAGGGCCCGGGTGCGCTTGAGCGGTCGCGACCGTTTCCATATTTGATTGTGCGTGCGGGGGACGCGTGCGGACGCGCCGCCCCCGGGGCTCGACGTGCCACGAATACTCTCGGACTCGCTCTGCTCTTGCTTCGACTCCTTCGAATTCTGGGCTTCGCTGTCGTCGATCCCGTACCCCGGCGTTTTCACTCAGACGTGCGAGGCTTCTACGGGAGTTACGACTCGCGCCCCGGACGCTTAACAAGCCGGCTCCTCCGCGCACGAGCGTACTCGGATTTTCGGGCCTCCGTAGTCCAATATTCGGCACCCTCTTCTCGTCGACCCTGCCCTATCGCGAAGCCTCCGGGCTAAAAAATAATGGAAAATTTTCCTCGCGCCTTGTAGCATATCTCATTCCGAGACTATTTAATGCCCCGCTTACAATGGACGGCTTTGGCCGTGGTAATTAAATGCCATCGTAATCGGAATTCACGCCACCAACAATAAATATCTAGGCTACTTTTATTTTGCCGAAAGTTTTCACGCAGCACTGCCGTCTTTGTGCATACTTACTTGAGCTCGACTTGTAAAAGTCATTGGATCATTACCACCCGCGCCTCTCGCCAAAATCACAGGCCACGTAGTTAGATAAAAGATGATAAAAGTCCTAAAGTTTTATAAAGAAAAGTGCAACGTCACTTCTCCCCCTCCGTTCGATTTATATATCAAATGTGCCGTACACCATGGGACATGAAATAGTCTCGTCTTCATTGCATAGGCACATACACACGAAATAGTCTCGTCTTCATTGCATAGGCACATACACATGGGTGCGTATCATCCAGGGTGGAAATCGCCGATCGATTATCGCACGCTAAAATTATACCGATATGAGCTTCTCTGTGTCTTTTTTGAGAGAGGGAGAGAGAGATTGAGAGAGATTGAGAGAGAGTGAGAGAGAGAGAGAGAGAGAGAGAGTGAGCGAGTGAGCGAGTGAGAGAGTGAGTGAGAGAGGAGCCCTCGCGGTGCGAGAACATCCTTTCTTTCAAGGGTGGCTGCTCGTGACACTCCCCGAGAGAGAAAAAGAGAGAGAGATATCCAGTCCACGTCAAGGAAAGAGAAATTTCGCGTTTGATGTATGCCGCCAAAGGGAGGAAAGTCTGCGTTCTCTCCTTCTCTTCTATATATCTTTCTCTTATCCTCTGTTGGTCTGAGCGAGACTATGTATGTCGTAATGCTAAGGATTTTTTTTACACTCTAACAATATATAGAACTACTTCTTTTTTCAAATTTATCAAAATTATCTTACAATGTGTATTTGTTAGTTACGATTTTAATGTTCAATTTTGTGGAAAAATCAATTTCTGTCGCCGATATGTAATTTTTGTTGTTGTTGT